TGGAAATGATAATTCGTTTCGTGGGATTACTGCTCGAATATTTCAGGTGCGATATTGTGATGGCACTGGCATCTCATCAATATGTCAGTCGTATCGGATATTCGAATCGTGTCAATCCATCCCAAATCTCGGCTACATTTGCTGTTGTTCAGGCCAATTGTGTAATTCAGCCAACAGATTAATATCCTCATCATTACCGTTACCGATGATCGCTTCATTTTTCATCATTTTACTCTATCGATTTCATGCTTGATTGAAACCCACATCGAATCAGAATATATTAAATGTATGTATAATTCTTTAAGTGTAAATTATATTTAACGAAGAGAACCTCTGACTGTATTCAATCGCTTAATTCGTTCATCTCTTATGCATTAAGAGTTTTCTTGCTAGCATCAAATGTTATACTTTTTTGAGAAGTCGTTTATTTCGATGGAAACATTTCAGAGGACGTTTTGAAATTATGTGACGATGCAAAATAATTTGTTTTAAATGTCAACATCAATCGAATTAGTTTACCAAAACACACGTTATCAGCAGTCATAAACCGCAATCATGCATATATCACTGAGATCTCATCATTCTGATATACTCTTTCAATTTTTCTTCAACCTTCATCTATGTTATCCATTGATGACACCTCATTTATGCATTATTGTTCTCCATGATATCGACGGTATGGGTTATAATCAATATAATGAATCATAAAGAGCCATCAGATGTTGAAATAATCTTCTTCACATACCCATCAAACATCACATTCTTCTATAGACGTTCGTAGGCTCAGAAATACTGTCTGTCATCGTTCTACCGAATTGGTTCTTCAGTCACGAAGCAGATGCTTCATTTCAACAATTGTTTAATAGTTTCTTTCTATTTGATGAAGTCTGGAATACTGGAACATGTAGATTGTGAACGAATGAGGAATACTTTTAAAATTCGTTGATTACTCATTTGTTCTTGCATTGCAAAACTTCAAATCTGCGCCATTGCGTTCTGCTTTCAAGTTGTTCACGTCAGGCATTCTCCCATTTGAACAGCTTATTCTTGATAGCAATTTCTCATGCTGCTCAGATGCATTCTGTGAGGAGAGAACATTCCTCGATAATAGTGGGGAACAGATCCATGTTGCTATAGATTCTTCGCATGCTGCATAACCGATCAGAAAGTTGTTTCGAAGTCAGTCTTTCTTATCGCTTCCTCCACGTGCCACTTCAGTTCACTCACGTATTGCTATTGCTGCTCATTTAGTTGTATTTGTGTTATTGTTGACTGTTTCTTCACCACACGTAAATATGCCTCTGAACGCATTCAAACATCACAGCGACCATATTTTCTTATCACAACGACCCTATCTCTTTAACATGTTTTATTACTTCTTTTCTGCACTACACCTATCGTTTATTGGTGATGTCTACTCCATTTGTCAGTCTATTGAACAATAATCCTGACTGGCAATATTAATCCTGACTGGCAATATTAATCCTGACTGACAATATTAATCCTGACTGGCAACACGAAAGAATACCTCTTACTATCAAACGATTGACAACATGATAAAACAGCCATTGTTTAGTCTCACAATCAAGTTTGTGACAAGATCTGCAGGAATTGATGTGCGATCTTTAGTTTGTGTTGCATATCTGCTGAAATGTGATGGAAGCAGTGAATATTTATTCGAAAAGATATCTCGGAATACTCTGATCTAGTACAACCGATTAAAAAGGTGTTTGTCTTATCGCTTCCTCTAAGCGGAACATAAATCCAATTACACACTGTTGTTGCTGCTCAATCCGTTGTATTTGCGTTATCGTCGAGTGTTTCATCACCACATGTAAACATGCCTTCGAATGCATAGCAGTTACCTGGAAATTCGGTTTGTTAACACTCACCAATGAACTGTTATTAATAATTTATCACTCACTTCGTATTTTTCAGTAACATCTTCAAATGTTACGCAGTGCATTTGTCCACCGTTCTATAACCCTTCGCTCGCTAAATGAGTACCTTTACAAGACATGTATTCGTAACTCTTGTATTATCCAACTGATAACTCACTTGTCCAACGTGCCTGTTTCCAGTTGCCTCCGGAACGCGGAGCAATTGCCGTATTCCTGTTGAGTTGCACTGTTCAGAAAGTTGTCGTTATCAGAGACGTTAGAAGTGCACTGTTCCATACGTTCACCACCAGCGACAAAAGTGGCTGCAGAAATAGACTGTTTAACAATCGTTCACCATTTCATCATTGTCAACAATCGTTTTTCATCGTTTCTCATTTTATTCATTATCGAATCTTCTGCTTACTATTGTGCGTCATATGATGTGATCAAATTTGATATTGATAGCTGTCGTGTTGCATTCGAGTCAGGCATTTGATGGGTACGATTGTCCTTTCAAATGCTTGTCTTTCTGCTTTCTCCTCAATCGCACTTTTGATGAAAATGGAAGCTGATCCTCCAGGAAATAATTCTAGAAAGCGGAGCCATTCTTCATAAATTGATTATAAACTTGCGTGAATCAGATCGGCCAATGATTTTAGTCGTTCGTGCCATTGCAAATGCGAGGAGCTACGGAATAGTGAACTGGAAGATAATTCCAGATCGGAGGGACCAAGAAAAACTCGCATACAAATAGAGCCGGTTGGGCCTGCTATTCCCCTGCTTCCCGGAGATTCACAGGCGGTGAAAATCGGTAAATTGTTACCGTTCCTAACCCTGATTTTTTTGTGCGTATGGAAGAGCCCAATTCTATTCCATCTATTTCATTTAGTAAGTAAAACGACATTAGGCAGATGATGTCTCATTCTCCGTAAAATGAGTGCAAATTCATATGGTTTCAAACAACCATGTCATTGCAGGGATAAAGTACCGGATAAGAGTACTGCATAAGGTACTGCATAAGAGCGAAGTGGAAGACGAATCTGAAACGAAGGGAACAACAGAAGAACGTTCGCCGATGCGGCCTCGGATTGATCACTCTGCAGATCCTCCGCCTGACAAAATTTTATTACCGTCGGACGAAGAAAAGTGAGTTGGATTAAATATACCGTTTTCAGTCCTACAAGACTTTTTCAATGATGACTGAATAAATCAAGTATCGTCCGTCGAGTCTGAGCCAACACAGCACGCCTTTCCACCAGCTAATTCACCAAGTTTTTTCCATCTCGTGACTGGGCATTTGGCTTATGGAGTTTCAGCCTATGGATGTTTGGCTCAGTGGAGGTTTAGCCGGTTGGAAATTTAGCCCATTGAACATTTGCCCTAATAGACGTTCGAACAAGTTTTTTGTGGAGGTTATGTAGGCATCAGAGTTTTTTGGAGGCCTCTGAGAGCTCCCAAGAATATCAATCAAGTCGACCGCATTTTCGGAGTCTTCGACTGCAAATTTCTCCTTCGACTACCCCGTCCTCAGTTCTTCCTGAAATGTCAGGGATCACTGTTCTTCGAAGTTTTTTTGAGGGCCTTCCTCCAAGATTCCAGAAAAATTGATAAAATCGGATTAGAGCGGCAAAAACGAGAACTTCAAGCTTCTGTGAAGCTCAGAAACGTGAGAGAGTTCCTTCGATGGTGTTCACAAATGAACCAATTCATATCATAATGCTCAAACAATTGAAAACCGGGGATTTTGTGGAAAATCTGAACTTTAGGGATGTACTTTTCAAAAGCGCTTAATTGAGTGGACGCGAGAATCCCTGAAAAGGATTCGAGATACTCGGAGAACTAGCGAATGATTAGGGCTGATACTCCTGAGTGTGATCTCAGAGTCCTCCAGCTCAATTCCAGTCGTTCCATTACCTCCATATGCGTCAAGCAAAACGTCCATAAGCCAAACGTCCTTAGTTCAAATGACCTGGCTTCATCATATCTATATTACTGTTCAATGATAAGCTGACCACATTTCAGAGACAAGGATTTATACCATCATGTGGGGCCAGTGACTAGACAGTTTCTTGGCAGACCATGGCATAGGTGTTCAGATCACAATAGGTGAGTGTTGGGTTCATTAGGTTTGTGTTCTCCTGATCTCAATTACAGCAGTACTGTCATTGCGTTTACGGACACACATCACTGTGACGATGTAGCGTGTTGATAGAATGGATGATATACTGTCTTAAGCAAAAATAACCTTTTGTTCTAGGAAAGAAAGAGTGCTGAAAATTAGTATTGAGTCATTTTGGTGAGTCAAAATTAATATTGAAATTGAGTTGAGTCGAAATTAGTATTGAGTCCGTGTCGACGGACTCAAACCAGAACTGAGGAATGATCATTTTGGTCCAATGCCTCGGAGCACCATAACCTCGGAATGGAGGTAGCGGACACAAGGAATGAGTGCATCATTGTGATCAGGAACTCCATGATTCCACTCCTTCGTGCCATTATAGGTGCGAAGAGCTTCAGAACAACAGAATGAAAAACAATTCCGAAAGGAGCAGATCAAACGAAGTTAGGATACCAATGGAGTTGGATGAGAAACAACATCTTGCAGATGAGTCTGCTACTCTTCTGCTTGATAAAGGCTTACCGGCGTCAGCAGTCGCGGTGAAAATTGGGTAAATCATCACCGTTCTTAACGTTGATTTTTTGTGCTTATAGAAGAGTACAATTTCATTCTTTCTATTTCATTTAGTTAATAAATTGATATTAGGCAGATGTTTCATTCTCCGTAAGATGAGTGAGAATTTACGTGAGACTGGGGATTTTGAACAACCATGGAACAAACAAACAACAGGAGAATACGATTTGATATAAACCTGTTGCGATTGCCCGACATTTCCATTACCTGACAATAGCAGACATGAATCCTCGGCTTACACCGATAGAAGATTTTATTCGATGCATTTGACAGTAATCCGATTTCACTGATCAGTAGTAGATATGCAATCATCGTTTTTACGGATCGAGCCGCTTTTCCAACATTGTGTTGGAAGCTGGCAATCGACTGCAATCCTCGATAAACCTTCTAAGCTCAGGAAGTTCTGGTAATATTTTTTTTGT